TAGAGAGGTGCACTGTCCATTTAGTCCACCCAATTCTGTCTTTGGGGGAGAGCCCAGGGCTGGGGCGGCAGGAGGTGCGGGAAGGGGAGGGGGGAGCCCAGGGCTGGGGCGGCAGGAGGTGCGGGTGTGTGTGGGGGAGAAGAGCCCAGGGCTGGGGTGGCAGGAGATGCGGGTGGTGGGAGAGCCCACGGCTGGGGCAGCAGGGGGTGCAGGTGGGGGCCAAAGCTGGGGCAGCAGGGGGTGTGGGCAGGGGAGAATCCAGGGCTGGGGCAACAGGAGGGTGTGGGGGGAGCCCAGGGCTGGGATGGGGGCAGCAAAAAACCTAGAGCTGGCTCTGTCCCTAGCATTCACAGCAAGCTGCAGCATGAGGTTTCAGTTCCACACTCCTTCCCCATCCCTTTCCTGTTAATTGCGGCCAAAGGAATGCTGGGAAATGTAGTTCTTTCCCTGCTCCAGGCCTGGCTCTATAGGCAGGGAGCTAACCAAGGAACTACAGCTCCCAGGGCCCCCTGTTGGTTCTCAGCTCCCATGCTGGATTCTTGCGCCCCTGCAAATTTGCCGCCCCAAGCAACTGCTTGCTTTGTTGGTGCCTAGAGCCGGCCCTGCCTCTGGTTAATCTTCAAGTTAATCCTCAGATATCTGACCCTCCTTGTTTAGCTTCACTCTGCTGTTGCCAGTATGTTCTCTGTCTTTTCTTTTCCTATTCTCCTTTTCCTGGGTTTCACCTGCCCATGATTTTTCTAGGCGTTTATCATTAGCTTCTACCTCTAGAGTATCTACTTGTGTGTCTGAGATTTGGATTTCTATCCCAAATAACTGGAGTGTAGTTTTCCCTTGATTGAAGTCTCTTACTGTATAATACTTATTTGGAAGCTGAATGGGAGCTTAAATGGGAATCCCCATCTACAGTGAATATAGGATGACCAGATGTCCCGATTTTATAGGGACAGTCCCGATTTTTGGATCTTTTTCTTATATAGGCTCCTATTACCCCCCACCCCCGTCCTGATTTTTCACACTTGCTGTCTGGTCACCCTAAGTGAATATCTGCCTTCCTGAGTACTGCTGTAATTTCTCCATCTCTCTTCTTTTTTTTTTAAAGTTAGAGTAAAAATCTCTTGGAAAAATTGTAGTTTATGGTATTTGAATATAAGATCTAGATAATCTCTAGCTTCTTTCAGTATTAAATCATTCTTCTGATAATCAGATCTTTGAGTCTGTTATGAGGCCCAATTAGAGAGAATAGTGCCCTATGTGCTCTGGGCACTTTCACCTTTACCAGACAGCTCAGCTTTAGCAACTCTGCAATCAGAGTTTTTTACGTACAAGACTGGATTTTCTTCTTCAGCATTTTCAGGCAACCCCTTATAATTCTAATGTTGTTTCTCCTTGCTCTAGTTTCTATTTCATCTAATTTAAGCCGCATCGCTCTTTCTCTGCTCCAGTGGTACTCCCACTGCATCTGTCTCTCACTTGTTTCTCCTAGGCCAGGTTGTAGCACAGTTACTTGATCTTCTAAATCAGTAACTTTCATCTTTACTGCTATAGTCATGGACATCATGGCCTTAAGTTCAGAGATCAATTCCCTGAGGTCCAGTTTGGTGGCCAGTTAATTTTCTTTAGCCTTTGTCGTTCCTGCCTGTTTGGGCTGCCATGTTTTCACTTAGAATCAAAAGGGCCTCTCCATGCTGTGAGCCTGAAACACTTTTCTTAGTGAGGTAGATTTTTAAAACTTTGGGATTTTTTTGGAGGGTCCATTCTCTGCTACCCTGTGCTTTGCTTTCTTGGAGTGTTTAGTAGGTTTAAGGAGTCAATGGAGGCAGATTACTTCACTATTCCTGAATATCTTAGGCTTCAGGCAGCCATCTTAGTTCAGCTTCCTCCTGGTCCCCAGTATTTCCTTATATCAGATCTCAGTTGGTCTCCATTCAGTTTAACCAAATGCCCCCCTTAACACTGATGTGCGTCAGAAAGCATACAGGATTGTTATGGTGTGTATCAAGTGTCTGTTTTACTTATTAGGTTGTTTGCAGTGTTGTTGTAACTGTGTTGGTCCCAGAATATGAGAGAGACAGCATGGGTGAGGTAATAGGCTTTTATTAGATCAATTTCTGTTGGTGAAAGAGGCCAGCTTTTGAGCTTTCACGAGCTATTACCTCATCCACTTTGTCTTACTTATTATGGGCAGCATTATGGCCTGTCTTCATGACAGGGTGCAAGTTCCCCTTTACTGTCCTGTACAGGAAAAGGGAAAAACAGGGCAGGAATTGTGACTCAGTCAGTTTCCCTTCTTGGTTTGCCCTTGTATTGTTACTGCTATGGTTTGTCCCTCACATAGGGCAGATTGTAAACTTACAATCAAGCCCTGTGTTTATTACCTGCATGTTTGTTCTCTGCTTGATTAGGAATACTTTCCCAAGAGAGCCTTTGAAATGAAATTGCTTTGTTGATTAAGGGCCATTGAAAATGGAATGTATTTTTACCACCATTTCAGTAGACTTAACACCCAGCTAGTCAGTCCCAGAGTTGAGAGACCAAATACCGTCCAAGACAGTGTTGGAGGGCACTGTGTGTTAGTTGTTCCAGGGCAAGACTCTTTCACTTAAAGGATTTCAGTTCCTACATTTCATGTCTTTATGTCTATGTCTTAGCTGTATAAGAACTGCATATTGTCAGCTGAAACTATATCCAGTCCATCAAGCTAATGAATCTAGTGAGATTCCCAAATGTAAATCTTATTTTATTGGGAATAATTATTTTGTGTATGTGTAACCCACACACCTTCTGGGTGTGGTGTTGTGTCCCATCTAGTGGCACAGAGACCACTTAGAGAGATAAAATGAGTCTGCTCGACAGCGTTAGCTAACAACCAGTTGGCTTTTAGCTCATGCTGTAGAGGTTCATGCACTAAGCTTCAGAGGTCCCCGATTTGATCCTGCTCACCGACGACCGGGGTCTGTCGGTGTTACATATGCAGCACTCTTCTTGTTGGGTGCAGTTCCTTAAGCAAGGGGGAAATTCTGGCTCTCATGTAAAAATGGGCTAGCAGAGTGGACTCTCAGGGAGACAGGGAATGTGTCTTTCGCTAGTTGCTGTTCAGCTTTCTTATTTAATTTACCACATTTTTGGTTGAATTTATTATTTGTGCTGGATTTCTGTTATTTGGCCAGAATAAACTTGTGTGCATTGCCATTTAATCATGCAAGTGGTGTTTCCTCTTTATGGTTCTGTATCCTGGCTCGGCGTGTGTTTGGTGCCAAGATTCTATGACTGAAAATACAGAGTAAGCATCTCACGTGGCTAACGTAACTTCTGTCACGCTAATGAAATATTCTTCATTGTGCTTCATACTGAGTCTATGAATTCAAATTTCCTAACTTTTCCCAGGTTTCTAAATCCTGTTGTTCCTTTTTTTAAAGTTCCCCTTTCCTTGAAGTTATTGTGAGTCCTACGGCCTTGTGAGGTATCAAAATAAATGCTATATAACATTGTGTCTTCTTTCCCCAGAGGACACACATTCTCTAATCAACCAGGCATATCTCTTGCATTTATTGTCTGGACTAGGTTTTCAACAGGAGGCGTCATGGTTACACTTTCAAATTCAAGGCAAACAGAACACTACAGATAGCAAAGCCGCCAGTGCTGTCAAGCAGAAAAAAAGTCACACTATTTTGGCTGTGGGGAATCTTAAAAGGAAACTTTGTAGGGTTTTTTTTCCGAGTTATTAATAAAAGAAATGAAGACTCAACTGAATTTGGCTTTAAGTTTAATATACATATCAAAGGATGCATTAGCAGCTGGCAAGTCTTAGACATCACTCTTTACTGATAGTGTACATGATATTTAATATAAAATTAACCCCTAATGACAATCACCAGTATTTCTGCAAATGATTGTGATATGCCATGGAAAGTACAATTTTTGCTGAACTAGCCTGATAGCTCAGTGGTATGGAGCCAATTAAATTTTGTCTTTTCTCTATAGTCCATGAAGAATATTTCTGCCTCCAGATACTAGCAAGTGCTAAGTCCTGGTTAGTTGAAATACGGCAGACTCTTCAATTATTATAACAAACTTCCATCCCAGACTCTTCAAATGTAGTAATAGTTTCTTTAAAAAACAAGGTATAAAAAGATTTATAGTAAAAAAATTTTAGCAGCATATGCCACAGCCTATCCCAATCTTAGATGCCTTCCAGTAATGATAGTCAGTTCCTTTATATAACTACAAGTGGCTCCTCTCCTCCCTTTTCAGTTCTCTTTTTGATGACTCTAGGGTAGGCTCTCCTTCTGCTGTCATTGGTTAGAAAGATATGCTGGAAGACCTTGCCCATGTTAGTCAAACAGCATTAAGATGTCAGACCATCCAATTTCCCTCTGACTGTTTCTGAAAAGTAGTATTTTATTATCCCGTGCCTTCCCATTACATTCTTCAGTTTAAGCTACCCAGTAGCCACCATTAAAATGAGCTTTTAGCTTTCTACAGGGAAGAAGAAATGGGCATGTTCTCACAAAACCCCAGAAACTGATGAGCAGAAAACACTTTTCAAGCAATACTAACGTCTAGACTTCCATATAGGATATTTATAATGTACCCATTAGCTTGACAGTATAAGTGCTGAAATCCAGTAAACCACAAAACTGTAGGCCTTGGAACAAAGTTACCCGTGTCTGCTCACAACCTCTCTTCCTCCTACCCTGTGTCTTGCAACTTAACAGGGCATAGACCTGGACAAAAAAATATTCAAAATGTGGGAGAAAAGCACAATCTAACATGCTAATTAAAGTTAAACTGATTTAATTTTGTTCACTTTCTTGACACTCTGCAAATAATATGAAAACCGTATTTTCCTTTTCAGTTTAAGACTACTTCCATTAATCAGACTACTATTAATAGAAAAAACAGCATGTGCTCTAAAGTGAAAAGTTGAGGAGCCTCTGTTGTACACTTTGACAGACTTTGAAAGTGCTTTTACAGGTCACCTTTTGGTACCTTTTTTAAAATGATCAAACAGTATTAAAAATTACAAAATATTGCAAGGATGCAGACTAAAGAGAGCCCATTCAGGAGAAAAGTGCATTTAGAAATGTTAGTATTAAAAAGGTGTCCTTGGATAGGATCATGCAGATTGCAGAGTTGATGCAGTGGCTTCATGTCATATCAGCATTGAAATCCCTCGTTTCACTGCAACATTTTCTTTAATAAAAAAAATCCTACAATGTTCATTGATAAAAATATAATTTCTCTATTATCAGAAGTCTTCATGCATTTCTGTTAATATCCTTAAGGTAACTCCCTATAGGAAAAATAAAATAAGATCACTTTAAATATAAATTAATTACATAGTGTTGTGCTGTGCAATACTAGGGACCACAGCGACTGCGTTGGGATGTTTTAGCAAAAGGTAGAACATGATGAGAGCGTTTGGAATTTTGGAAGGGAAAAATTTTTTTTTAGAGTCTATTGTAATATATAGGTTGGTTTTCTGTCTGTGTTGGTTAAAAAGTGTCAGAGATTGGAGTCTGAAACTGCAGTGTGTGAACTGTGTGCAGTGCTGTAAGACTTACCCTTTCTCTGAGTGCCTAAATCTGACAGTTTTCATATTTTGTTCATATTCTATTGTAGGATGTAAATTAGGATAAGATATTTGCATTTTCTGTTTATTTTAATAAAACGGTGTGCGTATATGTTTGGTTAAATCTTTAATACCGTAACATTTTGAGTTGTGTGTAATTTGAAGCTGCTCTACCCAGCCCTATGTTTATTTGACTATTGCATTGTCTGGCCATGATATGAGAGTCCTGCTGGTGGCAGAGAGAGCAAGTAGGGTGCTGTGTCCAGGAATGCATTATGCACATATGCTATTTTCAGAGAACAGATACCACAGTTGGTAGTATGGCAATAAGTATGCAAGAGGCTCAATACTAAACAATCAGTTCAGTTCTATCAGGGTGCAATCTATCCCCATTAGAAGGCTTTCACTTCAATATTTTTAAAAGTATTTTATCTTAAAAAGGAAAAATGAATGACAAGTACATCCTTCCACAAATTATTGGACAGTATAAATCAAAGTGCACAACTTTAAAAAATAAAAAGGGGTTGGGGGGTCTGATTGAAATGAAGTGAATTTTTACATAAAATCCCTCTTAAAAACAAAATGTTTTTAAAAAATAGACAAAACCCAAGTCAAAGTGAGTTACTTCACTTATTTTGGTGCCATGTTATACACTTGTACCTTACTATTTACAGGATCTGATCCTGCAAACACATAGGCACATGAGTAAAGTTATCAATTTACCTAAGTGGGCTCAGGATCTGACACTGGATTTTGAATGATTAAATAATTAAAGTAAAAATGTTCCTGGTGGAAGCCCAGAAATAAGCTCTGTGTGTTGTTATAAAATCTGTATGTGAATATCTTTGACCTTTCTAGCTCTGGTTAAAAATGATTAATTTCTATAGTACCTATCACTATATAATTGATAGTCCTTTTTAACTACTGCTTAGGCTCATAAATACCAACCTGAAAATCTCTAATGAAGGTTAAGAAGAAGAAGATAAAACCAAAGGCCACTGTCCATTCGCAGATTGCACTCACAAAATGATAAGTATAATCCTGATGGAAATGAGAAACAAAACATACTTCCATATAAAACACTAAAACAAAATTAACATGGAATGGTAGACAGAAATGGCAAATCAAACAAAAATAGAAATTCTCATTAATGTACATGTAGGGAAATATCAAATCTGTAAATGGCTGGTCTTGCTTACATTTTTGGAATTGCCCTTTCCTTTAGGTTTGGGTAGAGAAAAACGTTTAGCGTGATGTCCATCTTGGAAAAATGTGGAATGTATGAATAACAGCTGCTTGAGTAAAACGTCCCTTCTACTCTTATTTGTCTATTTGTGGCATATAACTAGTTCTATTTGAAAACTCTGAGGATGTCATCTGCAGCAAAAACAAACTCCTGCATTCAATGCTCAAATGTTTTTATTCTAGGATGTTTATTACTTGGACTAGGGTGTTGAATGCTTCTTGTAAGGTGCTGAGAGCCCACGACACCAGTTGACTTCAGCAGGAGTTGAGGGTTCTCAGAAATTTGCAGGATTAGCTCCTTAAAAAGTACTGTAAGAGTGGAAACGTATCCAATATTCTATATATTGCATATATACATAACTTATACCATTATGAAATAGTGAAAAGCATAACAAAACTAGTGACTTCATATGTAACAAACAACCAATAAAAATAAACACATTTCCTTGACAGTATTAAGTTTATAAATTGTGCAATAAATTATAGGTTTCCAGAACATTTTAAGTTATTGCACCTTGATGAAGAGACGTGAACTTTATATAATAAAGTCACTCCATTTCCAGTTAGATCAATATCTCTCTATTTATTTAAAAACCAAAATTTAAAAATTAGCAAAAAAAAAATTCTCTTTTCCCTTCCCATTCCCAAACACCTATATTTCAGCAAATATCTGATCCAGACTGAGACTCAGAAGATCTGCCCAGTGCTTTGTTTCCTGAAAGCTAATACAGGTTTAAGCTTTCACAGAGTATTAAATATATAGCCCAGGGATGGCTAAACCATGGCTTGCGAGCTGCATGCAGCGCTTTTACAGTTAAAGTGCAGCTCTCAGAGCCCCCCCTTTTGCCCTCCCCCCTCCGCATTCTCCATCTACCAGACTGGGGCAGGAGGAACTCAGGGCTTCTGCCCTGCAGGGAGGGTGGGTCTTTGGGCTTCAGCGTCGCAGGAGACGCCTGCTGAGCTCGGGGCTTCCGCAGGAGCGGGACTGAAGCCTCAAGCCCTGGCAGACATGCCCCGCTGGGCTGAAGCCCCGAGCCCCAGCAGGCGCATCCTGCAGGGCTGATGCCCCGAGCCAAGCCACGCATGCCTGGCTCTCAAACTTCTGAAGATTATCATATACGGCTCGGAAAGTCAGTACGTTTGGCCACCCCTGCTAGAGGCTTTGCATACTCTACCATTAAATAATATGTATTGCATAATAAAGTGAATAAACTGTAGGGGAAAAATCCTCAGTAGAAGGATATAAAAATAAATTCACCTTGGCCATAATCATTCCTATTAAATGTTAAATATGAGGGAGACAATGGCCCAAATTCAAGGCATTCATTCAAAGCCACAGAAGTCAATAGAGCTAGGCCTCAAGCAAATGCATGACATTTTAGAGATGGCCATCCATATCACATGTACTGTGCCTGCACCCAGAGTGTTTGGTAAAAGAGCTGTGCTAGAAGCTCTCTTGCAATGGGGCACAAATAGAATGAAAGGGGTTTTTTCTTAAATATGCCAAATGTTTCAATAAAAGGACCCCATCCCATAACACAAACACAGGAGCTAGACATTATTAAAAATATCTAACTTGTGAAGATTCATCTTCTCGGCTGCTTTTCCACTGTTTTGTCTAAGCATATTGCCCAGCTTACCCTTATAAACTTTAGTAACAAAATGCAGGCACTGCATTCTTTTACTTCATTTGTGGAGAAAGTGCTCCCTCCTGTGGTATAGCTTGTCCACAAATCCAACTTTGAGATCCTTCCCAGTCATCACCACAAGTGCTCTAAGATCCTGATCCATTTCAGTTAATGGAAAGACTGCTATTGATTGCAAAAGGCTCTGGATCTGATCCTAAATGCTTAATCAGGGGCAAGGCTTTAATTAGGAATGCTGAAAAAGTACAGTAAAATAAAGACCAGAGCTAAACCATCAACCATAATTCAAACCAAGATATCCTTGAGGGTTGGCGATCAGACTGATTATTTTATTAATTTCATTTTTTGAGGATGTGGTTGCATAAGGAACCACTGAATAATGAAACAAGTCACTTCTAGAGAGGTTTTATCACAAGATTTCTCACTCAATTTTGCATAATCAGATTGTCTGGAACTTTGGGCGCTTACTTAAAATGAAAGTCCAACCCTTTTGAGGTTTCCCCGTCACTGATTTTAAGAAGCCCAGCTGTTAACTGTTTTTTCCCTAAATAGGGAAATGCCAGAGGTTTGACAGCTTGTTTATGGTCATACACTATTTAAATTCCTTGTGCTCTTGTCCTTACATGTGCCTAAAAGTACATAGCATCGCGTACCCAAGATAATAGGCTGCAGGATTAAATTGGTTACCTATTAAGGGTTTACCTTTTCACCTGGAATCCATTCAACTTTTGTTATGGAAATTAATGATGCACATGCAATCACTGGGGAAAATAATGTAAAGGAAATCATCAAAATTGCTTAATGAATAATAATGTAAATATTTCTATTTATAATGCATCTTCAGTCATTCTCTAAGACTGAAGACACCAAACAACAAGTTACACTGCAGTATTAAATCAGAATATTAAAAAGCCAAGCAAACATAGTATATTTCCACAAAGGGTCTTACAGTGATCAACACAAAAGACACTCTGAATAAATAAGATTAGGGGTCTTTGTAAAGGAGGGACGGTGAGATGAGGCATTCTTATGGACAGGAGAAGAAACCAAAAGTAGACCCTGGCTGTGTGGCTAAGATGTGTAATCATTTGTGTGAACACTGCTTGTCATTTACGGTCCAATCCAAAGCCCACTGAAGTCAATAGAATGATTCTCATTGACTTCAGTGGGCTTTGGTGCTCCCCTATCTGTGGAGTGACACTCTGGTTAGCCTCTAAGAAGGTAGTTCACCAAGTCTCCCAGCCAGAGAATGACCACCGAGGCCATCTAGTTCAGTATAAAGGGGAAATTGTGGGTGCCAAAATGAAGGGGTAGAGTAGGATCCTCATGACCAAGCTTTGATCAACTTTTGGTTTCTAGGGCTATCTGTGGCAGGAGGGAACCTAGTCAGATGATGAGGATGGAGATAGCACTGAAATGAAAAAAAAATCCCCCCAAACATTTTCTAGCCTGATGTTTAATGGTTTCACTCTGGTTCATCTGTCACTGGATTTATTATATGCTTAGTTAATAAAACCAACTGACAGATCAACTCAATGAGTTATAAAAACAATGAGGAGTCCTTTTGGCACCTTAGAGACTAACAAATTTATTTGGGTATAAGCTTTCGTGGGCTAAAACCCACTTCATCAGATGCATGGAGTGAAAAATACAGTAAGCAGTATATATTATATATCCACCTTAATTGAATTGGCCTCGTTAGCACTAACCCCCCCCCCACTTGGTAAAGCAACTCCCATCTTTTTTTTGTCCTGTAATATATATACTGCTTACTGTATTTTTCACTCCATGCATCTGATGAAGTGGGTTTTAGCCCACGAAAACTTATGCCCAAATAAATTTGTTAGTCTCTAAGATGCCACAAAGACTCCTCGTTGTTTTTGCTGATACAGACTAACACGGCTACCACTCTGAAACCTGTCAATAAGTAGTAGTCCTGTTCACTACAGTTTACTCATCTGAACCAGAAGGATTAAAACAATGATCAACAGAGGTGATTTCTCTTCAAGAGGCGTGGTTGCTGTGACTCATATTTAGCAGCTCGTAGTAAGTTTATACAAGAACACTGTCCTGTCAATTAGGTTGAATGCACCAATAGAGCAGTTGGCGCACAAGTGATCATAACTTTTCTTTATGTAAAATTTAATTTGTTTTATCTGTATAAAATATACATTTTATATTCAAGAAAAACATTATTTTTTCTACAGGAACTTCACAGCAGAGTTCCTTTTCTCACTAATACTGCAGCTGTCACAAGCCCAGCAGAATCACAAGACAGTCAGCAATTATACAGATTATGAAATAAGTGAATATTATTTGTCATCTTTGGTCTGTTTTTAGTTTCCACGTGACATGGCCAGGCAGCATAATAAAATAAACTTCAGTTTTCCCAGAGCAGGATTTCTTACCAGATTTACAAACTAGTATTTCTGACCTCTTCACAAACACAAAGCTATTACAAATATTTAAAATATAAAACAATTGAAAGAAACAGGTTGAAGCGAGCAGACAAGTACATAAATATACTTGGTATTATCCAGCATAGTGATGTGGGTCAGTCATGAGTTGCATTTTGAACATTCACCACCATGAGTGAGAGAAGCTGCAAATTTAAGAAGTATACTTGACAACAACCAGCATAGTCCCGTGTTATGCTAACAATTTTCACCACTGTGAGCTGGAGAAGCTGTGAATGTGAGCACCTTAGGTCATAGTCTGCCTTCTGAAACATTTGTATAACTTCAATTGCTGCCTGCTATTGCTACTCCTGGGGGAATTCTGCGCCACTGTACAAAGCAGAATTTTACAGAAATTAATGTTGTGCGCACAGAATTTCCTTTCCCCCATAGAAATTGGCTGCAATGCTGTTGGCTGCTACTGGGGGCCGCTGGACCCAGCAGAGCCCAGTTAGCACATAGAAGACACTGCCAGGGGGTGGGGGAGGGAGCTAGATGGTTCCCAGCAGCTTCAGTTCCCCACATGCCTTGAGGGAAGGAGACAGTGGTGTGCAGGAAACTCCACACAAGCCTGTGACCCAGCATCAGGCTGTTTCTCTGGGCTCTGAGGGCCGGGGGGAGGGTAGGAGGATGGGTGTGTGGGCTGGGGCAGACCCATGGCTGGGCTTTGGTGGGGAGGGGTCTGAGTATCTGGGCAAGGGGGTGGCATGGCTGGGCTCTGGGGGATATCTGGGCTGGGGGGGCTTCCGCAGCTGGGCTCTGGGGTGGAGGGGCTGTGGGTGTCTAGTTCCCCCAGCTAGGCTTTGGGAGAGGGAGGGGGAAGAGAAACAGGAACTGGGTTGTCATAGGGGGTTCTTTAACTCTCTACTCCTGGGGGAATTTTTTGTGTGTGTCTGTACTGTTACAGACATACTTGCTGACTGGTATTTTGAAATACATTACCAAACTAATTGAAACTGGTGTGATTAGTGTTATTTTGACAAATAAAATTTGCAGAATTTTAAAGTATTGTGCACAGAATTTTTAATTTTTTGGCACAAAATTCCTCCAGGAGTAAATTATTGCACATACTCTGATGGCAAGGTGGTCTGCCCCTTTAAGGGCCAGGAGGCCTGAGGCTAGCCAATCCTGTTCAATCACACCCCTGTATGCTAATTAATTATATCCTAGCCAGAGGGGGCAGGACTGATTGTTTCAGGCTGTCACCTGCCCACATGTGGGCCTCATAAAGGGCAGAGAATTGTTTGGAGAAAGGGAACCGGAGGGAGTAAGTTAGGTTACTGTGGCTGGTTCTGAAGAAAGGTCTAAGCAGAAGCTGACAACTCCAGGGAAGCAGCCTGGGAGTAAGACCCTGAGAAAGCAAGGGAGGGGCAGGACAGTAGCAGAGGGAGGTTGCCTGCTGACTTCTTGGAGTCAGAGAGTTGGACAAGGAAGGCAGAGGTCTGTGGAAGGACTCTAGCTAAAAAGAGCTGGGAGTCTTTTATGTTGGGACTTCAAGTTGAGGATTGTTTTGTTAATAAATGCAGACTCCAAGCAGGGGAGTTAGTGGGCAGAAAGACTGTGTGGATTATTTTTGGGAACTCAATGAGAGGAAATTGAGGCAGAAAGTGCCTACGTAATGGGAACTTATGCATTTCAGTACAGTAACTCCTCACTTAAAGTCGTCCCGCTTAACATTGTTTCGTTGTTACGTTGCTGATCAATTAGGGAACATACTCATTTAAAGTTGTGCAATGCTCCACTCTTATGTTGTTTGGCTGCCTGCTTTCTTCACAGCTGGCAGCCTCCTGCCCGCCGGTAGACCTTGCGGATCAGCGCCTTCCCTCTCCGCCCCCCGCCTGCGGCAATCAGCTGGCTTGCGGCATTTTGGAGACAGGAGGGAGGGGTGAGGACCGAGGACTTGGCGCCCAGACTCCCCTTCCCTCCCCTGCCTCCCGAACTCCGCAAGCCAGCTGATTGCCCCGGGCAGGAGGTGGGGGGAGGGAGAGGGAGCCTGCGCCAAGTCCTTGCTCCCCCCCCTCCCGCCTCCTAAACGCCTCAAGCCAGCTGATTGCCCCGGGTAGGAGGGACTCAGGAGGAGTGAGGACTCGGCGCGCCTCCCCCGTCCCTCCCTTGCCTCCTGCCGGCGGCAATCAGCTGGCTTGCGGCATTTTGGAGGGAGGGGGGAGGAGCGAGGATGCAGCGTGTGAAGTAAAGGGGGAGGAGGTGGGGGGGGAAAAGAGGCAGGGTCAAGGGTGGGGGCTTGGAGGAAGGGGTGGAGTGGGTGGGCTGAGGGTTGAGCCCCCCCACCCCCGGTGCTTGCAGAGTAGGGGAAGCTGCCCTGGAACCTAACCCCCCCTATTTACATTAATTTTTATGGGGAAATTGGATTTGCTTAACATTGTTTCACTTAAAGTCGCATTTTTCAGGAACATAACTACAACGTTAAGTGAGGAGTTACTGTATTTAGTTCCTCTAGCTAACACTCCGAAGATGGCTAGATCTTTTATACAGGAGGAGACAATACAGGCTAGAACAGGGGTGGGCAAACTTTTTTGGCCCCAGGACCACATCTGGGTGGGAAAATTGCATGCAGGGCTGGGGCAGGGGGTTGGGGTGTGGGAGGGAGTGCGGGGTGTGGGAAGGGGCTCAGGGCAAAGGGTTGGGGCAGAGGAGGGGTGCCGGGTGTATGAGGGGACTCAGGGAAGGGAGTTGGGGTGCAGGAAGGGGTGCAAGGTGCAGCAGTGGGCTCAGGGCAGGGGGTTGGGGTGCAGGATTGCGGCAGGGAGTTGGGGTGCAGGAGGTGTTCGGGCTCCGGCCCGGCGCCGCTTACCTGGAGCGGCTCCGGGGTGGCAGCAGTGTGCACCAGTGCCTGCCTGTCCTGGCTGCCCTGGCCCCGCACCATGCCCAGCCCCACGTCCCTGCAGCCCCGAGGGGCGGGGGCAGAGGGGTCCGCGTACTGCCCTTGCCTGTGGGTACCTCCCCTGAAGCCCCCATTGGCCACGGTTCCCCGTTCCTGGCCAATGGGAGCTGTGGGGGGCGGTGCCTGGAGGCATGGGCAGCACATGGAGCCCTCTGCCCACCCCGACCTCCCCACCAGGGGCCGCAGGGACGTGATGCCGGCCACTTCTGGGAGTGGCGCGGGGCCCGTGGTGCCACAGGGGTGGCAATCCCATGGGCCAGATCCAAAGCCCTGAGGGATGGCTGCTTGTCTCTTCAGTCAGAGGGCCAAATGTGGGTAGGCTCCCACCTGCCCTCTTTATTACTTACAGGGTAGTCTGACCTGTATGTAGTGTGTTGGTAGCTGGTTATTATAGGGTTAACTCTCGTACATGAGTGCTGGACTGTGTGTTGTATTTACATTCACTAGCTGTCTCTTAAAATAGAATCCCCTTTGCTTTCTTCCCCACTCCCCAACCAAAAAAAAAAATAGTAGGAAACAAGGGCATAAGACTTAAATACACTACTGACAACTGAGGTGTAGCTTCTAGAAAGATCTGGTAACGGCCATTCGTGCTTCTTACAATGCCAACTTGCTAAACATGGTGCTCCATCTGCAATATATGCAGTAGCCTGGTATTTATCCTACTTTATAAGTGGTTTAATGTCAGAGGAAGAACATTCGTGTGTAAAGATACAACAATGTGATACACAAAAAGGATACTGGGAATGACAGCTATGCATGACACTATAGAGATGGCCATCCTGATATAACATGTACAGTGACTGTTCCATTGTGGACATGACTTGAAAGAGATGACAGACTGAAGTGCAATGTAAACAACACCAGAGCCAAAAGCCACAAGAGCTCCTCCATCATGGACGCTGGGAACAGATAACTCCTGGAAAGAGAATCAGCAGAGTGATTATCTGTTATTATTTGTGTTACAGTAGTGCCTAGAAACCAATTGTAAAAATTGGGCCTACAGATCTGTCCTAATTGTGAGCTCAGCTGTGGGAGGTGAGGGAAAGGTTAAGGAATGTGTCAATAACCAATAACAACAGTTGTTGAAGGGAAAAGGAGCAAAAGCGAGACAGACTGAATTTGTATGAACAAAAAGGTTGACTGATATAACTCAAGGACTGTGTTAAAATGTTAACTAGTAAACAAGAGGAATAGAGGACCAGAAATCAATTAACCAAAACTGGTGTGTTGGAAATTAGGCCTAATTGGTAGAGAAAAAATGAGGAGACTAGCTATTCCACCCATCACTCCCTTTTTGGGTCCTTAAAGAGACTTTGGGGAGGGAAATTTGGGTACTGAGGTGAGCTTCACCATCTTGGCTCCCGCCCCACCAGTTCCTGGGACATTGGGCCTTCATCATCCTGAGAGATGTCTGACCTGAACCAGGCCAGAGAAAAGGACTCAGACAACACTACCATCTCCACCAGTTCCAGCTAAATCCTAAATACCCCCTGTACAATTTAGTGATTGTGAAAGATGCCACCAGCTTGACACCACTGGCAAACTGAGTGCTTGTCCCACAAAAGAGGTACCACACAGATGATGCAAGATTGCCTATGCTATTTGCCAACATGCCTTCATTTTATATTTGCGGGACTGGTTTCAGGAGTGATAAGTTCATATTCTCTATACCTAGCCAGTCCTTGGCTTTTCTGCTGCAACTGCCAATGAAATGTTTTGGTGGTGTTTTCCCTCACTGCTGGTAAGAGACTAGAACTGCCAGGTCACTTCAAATCCCCCACTATCAGATGGTCAGTCCGAGAGTGTGCAATATAAAAGCTGGGGGGAGGGTGGTGTGCAGCAGTCCAAACCAGTGACTTTGATGTGAAAATCTCCATATCCCTCTGTCAACCCCCTGAGCTCCTTCCCCTTTCCATGTCATCAGCCATCTTTATTTATGTTGTGATATCCAGCTTATTGAAGATTCTCTCACTCTGAAATATATCTGGAAGTGAAACCTACAGTAAAATAAAGTATATGGACAGTCAAAAGAACTTCTTGGATTCTCTAGATGTATAAACTACATATGTTAAACTATGCCAGATCTATATCACCTCTGTGCCAGAGAAATCCTCTCAGAGCTAGTTAAACCAGTTTTTAAGCTGGTTTCTGCCACCAGAGCAGTGCAAAGCAGCATTAATAGAACACGTCTTCCTTGCTTTTGTTATATCTTCTTTCCCTTCCTGGCATGAAGCCACCTTTCTCCCCTTTTTCTTTCCTATGATGGTGTAATTTTACCCTGTTGTTGTCTTCAACATCTGCTCCCCCCTGCCGCCCGCTTCTCTTTTGCTTCACTCCTTCTCCACCCCCCTTGTTGTGTTTTATTCTGTTCAGATTTTTATACTATGTCCATTACTGTGCTATCTAAATGGCTCCTCCTCTCTATTTTCCTTCCCCCCCCCCCCATGCTATCTATATATGAAAACAGGGTCTCATAATTGAAAGTGTTAGACAAGCTTAACTACACGTGTTGCTACCAGCACCACTGTTCTCTTCTTTTCTAACTTATTTCTTGGACCGTCTCTGCCTCTCACCCTAGCCTCCATACATGCCAAAAAAGGGCTCAGAAAATTTACCAGATACCTAATAGCTAGGGGACTAAGCCTAGTGGCCAAAGATATGGGGGAACCTCCTTTGTCCAGGGGCAATGGCTAAGAGGCACAATCAGACCCATAGATATAAGATTTTTGCTTTACCTAACTCATGCTCTGAGGAGTTTCTCCTTTAATGGTCAGTTGCTCCTTAACACCATCCCACCAACTGTATTTCACTTCTGTATTTTAAAATACTGTATGATTAAAAATAGAGAATAAACACCTGATTCACCTCTGTTCACCTTCACAGAAGTTCTTTTGCTTTTAGGAAACATTGCTAGCTATCTTCCGCCCACACTTTCCAGCTGTTTTGCTGAGCATTCAGGAGCAATACCATTACAATTATACTCTCCATCTTGCCTTCCCCAGTACCAAAATGACAAAAAAACTTTCCGTACAACTAATTTTGCTGATTAAAAATTAACAACAGAGCTCACAAGATTTGGGTAGATAAAAGCAAATTATAAAATTCACAGCATGTGTGAAATTGAAATGTTTTCACAAGCTCAGAGGTGAATTGAAAAAATACTATTTTTTTGGTTATCTTTTTCACAGTGCAAATATTTGTAATAAAAACTAATATAAAGTGAGCACTGTGCACTTTGTATTCTGTGTTGTAACTGAAATCAGTATTTGAAAATGTAGGAAAACATCCAAAAATATTTATAATATATTTAAATTGGTATTCCATTATTGTTTAACAGTGCAAGTGAAACTGCAATTAATCATGACTAATTTTTTTAATCTCGTGATTTTTTTAATCGTTTGACAGCCCTCATTAAGAGATGAGTAGGTAAAACAGGCATGATCAAATGAAAATCAAAATTAGTGATGTGACTGGGCTCCCTCTCTGAGTTTTATGTCAAAGTTGTTTTCCTGATTCTACTAAACTATTTTTCATTCCTGCTTCATCTTTTCCTGGTTGGAGTTGGTTTTGGTTTCTGGGGGAAGATGTTTTTATTATGCATCACCACCAGATGGTCCAACCAGTGCAACAGGGATTTGTTTGCTACCGATAGAACAAATCAATAATCGCAGGGATTATTTTTAAGATGCAAAGCATGATTTATATGATTTAATTTCTACAGTGTGTAAACCTTTCGTTACAAAATATTGCCTGAAGGTATTATTAACAGAGCTGGACACTGCACTGGAGACCTTTTAGCCTGAAACATCCAATGTTTACTACTTGCAAAACTGTATTCCTCAGTTTTTGAAACTATCCATGGATTTGCTAACTCACAGGCCTTATCTCTCTTCTCTCCTCAGCTCTCTCTGGTTGACTATTACTGTTCTTCTCTGTTCCTTCCCTATACACAATTGTACATTGTTAGATTACTATACAAGCACAATACTGTGTACAAAACAAAATGTGCCTATATTGTGGCCTAACAATGTATGACTGAGCTTGTTATCAGAAAGTCACATAACAAATATGGCAGAATAAAAAGATGGGACTATAGCCTCTCCATTCCAACAAAAAATATGTTTCTGTCTTCGTGTCTCATTAAAATGGTTTCCTCCGCTCCAAATGAGAAATCTTCTACCCTTAGTATATAAAACCCTACAGTATATGTGATCACATTAAGTCACGTGAGGAAACTGGCAAACAATTAATTATTAATGCATTCTATACTTAGTAAATGGCTTGAAACAGATTAATTCTACTAAGAATGAACTTTACTATACAAGGACAATCATAATAATAAATGAAAGTTCAAATATCCAGATTTCAGAGATGAAATCAAAGCTGGTAACAAACTGTGCAAAATGCTGTAAATTATTTAAACATACTGTTTGGCTCTGGCTTTTGGCAAATTATTGATAAAGTACAGCAGGCTACATGACATATCAAGGAAGATTAAAGAAATATTTCATAACATCCCACAGTTTTTTCCCCTCAAGGGACATAATCAACTGATTTTATACTAGGTTTGCAGAAGCCCTAACACAGGAACTTTGCAATGATTGCAAAACACTTGGTTTGGATGGCCTTTTGCACCTCTCGCAGGAGTTTATATTGTTGTGTAGAATGCCTTTCTCAAGCTAGAAAAGAATTGGGGAAAATGGTGGAATTTAGATGTTTTTTACATTAGTTACTTTCTGAAGAGTTCCCATGCAATTCTGTGTATTCCTTTCCTTGTCCAGCACAGAGAAGGAAAGTGAGGCAATAATGAAACTTTGCTTGCTGTCTCATTTTCATCTAGTTAAGAAGTAACTTTCAGAGAGGTAACATGGTCTTGTGATTAAGATATTGGCGTGGGTCCCAGAAGATCAGGGTTCAATTTCCAGCACTCCAACAGATTTCCTGTGTGACCTCCAATAAAACCACTTTATATCTCTTTTCTCTTGTCTGCAAAATGGGGATGATACTTCCTTTGCCTGTCTTGTCTCTTCAGACTGTAAGCTGTTTGAGGCAGGGACCTGTATCTTATTATATGTTTGTACAGCATGAAGCACGATGGGGCCCTGACTGGTTTGTATTGCAGTACAAATAGTAAAATAAGGAATGTCAGAATCAGTGAGAACTCATCTTATGCTTTCTGAGAAGATCCCAAAATCTTATTAAGAAACTTTTAAGAAAGAACAAAAGAGTTGGAGAGAGAAAGTTAAAATAAAAAATAGATGATAAAAGAGATAATGGGCAGAGATCAAAATTTTTCTTTCTGATCTCTGGTCAAGGACCAGGGCTAGAAGAAGTTTATTATTGTGTTTTTCAAATAAAATATTTCTAGACCTTCTGTATTGCAAGATTTCAAACCTCACATTCATGTCATTCTGCTTACTATCTTACTCTTTTCTCTTCATTGCAGTATTTGGAGCTCTTGATTTTGCACTGATATTGCCAACTCTGCTCCTGTAACACTTCTTGTGTCTGGTCTAGTGGTTCTCGCTCTCTGCTCTGTCTCCACAGCATGTATTGAGAGAAAGAGGAGGAGGGGACCACCAGGAGCAGAGCTGGCATCTTAGGAGCATGAAGAGTGCTACCAGCAAGTGGGCAATGGCAAAAGGAGGGGCTATTTCTGGTTCAAGATGCCTCAAAAATATTTGTAGTTAAAATATTTGAGGAGTAATGATATTGAGAGAGGTGAAGCAGAACAATACAGAAAGCAAGCATGGGACGCATATTAGGAGGTAACGGATATTAGAACCTCACAGTGTCCATTGGGCCCAGAAGTTCTCTTAGTAGAACAGCCAGTCTCCCTCCCTGCTAATCAGCACTCCTAAAATAGGTACAGACTTTGCCCTCACCTCTGCAATGTTCCCACTGTCTACCAGCCTGGAAAGCATAATAAATCCTTAGTTTTCAGCCCAAATTGGAGTCTGCTGCATCCTGCATGGTATCAGTTGACAGATAAGAAGCTGACTAGCTGCACATCAAGCTCAAAATATACTTTTACTTGGTCTCTAAATGGATGGTGTGTGTTCTGTTGCTCTATGAGAACACTAATTACCCAATGTGGTCAAGTATCTTTAAGATCAGGAAGTGGGCTGCTTTCTTTTTAAAAGAAAGAGAAGTGGACAAAGACATGGAATTAGTAAATTATCCTAGTCATTTGCTTATAATTTTACAGTGTAAACTGTAATGGCTTGCAACATAAAAAACAAAATATTTCCACTCAAGTGTTCTTAGAACAAGACTTACTTTCTCAGGCAGTGGGAAGATGCAAGTTGCACATACACACAAACTTCAGCCTAGCTCACAACCCATTACTTCTTACAGTTGCAAAATTTCTGTGCTCTGGGGCACATCTACCTTCACATATCCTTCTAAACCGCATGGCCTTCTATGTTCTTATGCGCCCTGACTCAGCAAAGTATGTAAACACATGCTTAAGTCCATCCTCATTCAAAAAAGGAAGGTACTATCACTTGTGCCTAACTTTAAGCATATAAGCCAGGGGTTGGCAACCTTTCAGAAGGGGTGTGCCGAGTCTTCATTTATTTAATCTTATTTAAGGTTTTGCATGCCAGTAATACATTTTAACCTTTTTAGAAGGTCTCTTTCTATAAGTCGATAATATATAACTAAACTATTGTTGTATATAAAGTAAATAAGGTTTTTAAAATGTTTTAAAAGCTTCATTTAAAATTAAATTAAAATGCAGAGCCCCCGGACCGGTGGCCAGGACCCGGGCAGTGTGAGTGCCACGGAAAATCAGCTCGCGTGCCGCCTTTGGCACACGTGCCATAGGTTGCCTACCCCTGATATAAGCAGTCCCAGCTTTTGCTGGTATATGCTGAATCTCCAATAGGAGGGGTTTGCCAATAAAGCTAGGGTAGACAAGACCTAATTTGTTTTGCCCTCCACTCCAAACCTGAAAGGCTTAACAGATCACTTGTTCCACTGGAGTGATAACTTGCAGACTGGTGCTATTAACCTCTCTTTATCTGTTAATAAGGCTATGCTATACTAGAGAAGGTTTTGCCAGTATATCTATACCAGCAAATCTGCCTGGTGTAACTTAAATCAGCAAAGGAGTGCTGATATAAGAATAATAGAATAAGCTAAACAGGTAAAAGCACTTTTATGCCAGTCTAACTATGTCTACACTAGAGCTTTTGCTGGAATAGAAATGTCACCAAAAATCACACCCTTAATCGATACTGCTACACAGGCAAAAGTTTCTAGTGTAGACCTGGCCTTAAGAGAGTTAGGAGCCAAATATTTCCTTTGGAAGACTAGTGGAACAGATGGAAGTAAAAAAGGACACTGTTTCTCATGTTGTTAATTTACCAATCCATAAATACAGCATTAACCATTTAGATCTATAATTTTTTATGGTTAAAACTTTTAAAATTAGATTTGTGATTAAAATTGGACCATACCTGAAAATTTGCAACAATGCCCATTCCAATACAGCCCAGAAATCCAATACATAATGCAATTAAGTTACATGAAGGACTCATAAAATGTGATGATTCATTTTGCTTCTCTATTATTAAATATCTGATGTACATTGTAGCTGCACCTAAAAACAGAAAAAAAACCACCCAAAACGTTTATTTTCATTTATCATGCAATTATGTTATACTTTTTCATTTTCTTTGGTGAAATTACATATACATTTACAAAATTAACTTAAAACCACTATCCACTGAATTATATCTTCTCTAATTCTACTGTGATGGGAGTGGGAATGGGGACTAAAAAGTAGTAAGTTCTACATGTATTATTTTCAGATGACATTTTGAAGGGGTCTCCTCAATACTATTTTCCCCAGGTGTCCCCATAAATTACTTTGGGACAATTTAGGAAACAGGGTCATTTCAGTCCCATTACAATTTGGATTTTAGAGAGCAGAGAATGTTGACAACCATGTAGCCCACGTCAGGATAGGTTATGACAGGGAGACGAGCACTAAGTTGGAAGATGGACAGTTTATTAGTCTTTAGTCTGCCCTGATAGATCTCTATATTCCAGAACTACATCTGTTAATGACCAGCATATAGTTTCTTTGTTGGATGTAAGTAATAGGAAAAAAAGTGCATTCAACTATGTTATCTGAAATTGTTCTCAACGCTTGGGGCCCAATTCTGACTAGCCCTTGCCATAAGAACCCTCCAAACTAGTGTATACGGATATTTTTTGCCAAAATATCACTCAGTCTTTAGGCTCTGATACTCAATCTATAGGCCCTAATACTGAATTAATTCCTATCAAGGACCTATTTACATATGAAAATTGACTACATCAGCGAATTGCATTATAACAGGATGGGGTCAATATGTTGTAAATCAGGCCCTGTAAAGAACAACATTATAACACAGTTCATAACTCAGGTCCTGTCTACATAGGGAAGAACAAATCATACAGCGTTATACACAATTTCCCCAACACAGTAAACTTGCCTATGCAGATAGGTCCTTAGAGGAGATATAACTGGAGAAGGCGGTTGTGTATAGAGACCATTTTGGGGTTGGGGAGCATATATGCATAAATATGCAGGCCCAGATTCCCCAGTCCATCAGATGAGAGGAGAGTGCACAGTCAGTTGCAGTTCTTTGATTCAGGACCGCCGGCCCCCCTGCAAGATTCCTAATGGACAGGGTGGATTGATTTAAACCAAAGCAATTTAAATCCCTGATTTTGATCATGATTTTAATCAGCAAGCAGGAAACCTGAATTCAAATAATCAATTTTAATTGTGTTTTGCATTTGTAGTTTTTAGTTAATTTTCTAAGACAGACTGATTCAAATTGGTGGTAACCACTGAAACATGTCGATTTACAACTAAATATAGCCTTTATACTAAATCGGTTCTTCTTTTTGCCCACCAAGAGGATACATTATATCTACACATATTTATTTAAGTCATTACACAGCTTAACTTACATTTATTCAGATTCTTATTTTTTACATTTATTATGTTAGAAAATAGTGAATGGTGCATTTCTTACTTACTAGATGACTAATTTTTACTTGTGATTTGTGTCAATCTATTTGAATGGATATTCAAATTCAATTAAAAGTACACAAAACCAGCATTTTTTAAATGTGCTGGTTCCCGGCCAATGGGAGCTGTGGAGCCCCGTGGCTGACCCTATGCATAGGAGCCGGAGGGGGGACATGCCGCTGTTTCTGGGAGCTGTGCGGAACCCCCAGCTGGAGTGCCAGAGTGGGGCAAGCCGCAGCCTGGAGCACCGGAACAGGGCAAGCCCCCGCTGGAGTGCCAGAGCAGGGTAAGCCCCAAACCCTGCTCCCTGGCAGGAGTTCGAGAGCCAGATTAAAATGTCTGAAGGGCCGGATGTGGCGCCAGGGCCGTAGTTTGCCCACCCCTGCTTTATACTCACTGACCCCTAAGTCGCACTCTGCAGTTCCCTCTATCGTGTTCTGGAGTAGGCTCCCTGCAGTATTTTGTGGGGACTGGAATAGGGGCAACCTGCTTCTGTTATTCATCCTACTTCTAGATCCAGGTTCTCTGATATTCAGACAGAATTTGGCCCTAGATATGCTCAGACCAAATACCCCATACATACCTAAAAATGCTGAAATATTAATCATAAACCCAAAGATGCCACTTTCTGGAGGTTTTGTTCCTGTGTCACTAAAACAAGAAGAACAAGCTTGTAAGATTGAAGTCCTAAATTATACTACAATTCCCTAAAATAAATGTCATTTGTATGAGGTTTTATTTTAAGAAGACAGACATTTAAACAAGGAAATATAATGTCCTCTGTTGCTTGTCTAAGGCTTTACTGGTTGAATTGAATGTTTATTTTTGGGTGAAAAAACTGTTAAATTACCATAGAACACAGTCTCTGGGCTATATCCCTCCCCCAATCCAACACTCATACAGAGCTGTGATGACCTGGAGTTACACAACAGGTATCTATGAACGGCAACTAGTTAGAAGGACATTGGTGAACTTTACGGAGGATGGCACTGTCAATGCCATTTTATATGTCAACTGCCAGCTAAGTTAGTACTGTAGTTAAGACAATGTCAATCGACAGTATGCAGGCTTGTGGGAACATATGGTTCTGTGTTGGACTGTTGGATCCTACAGATAGTTCTGCTATCAAAGGACAGAATTGTACTCTGATTCACACCCCAGCCCTCAATTCCAGTATCCTGCTCTCTCTACTTGTGTGGATCTGCCTTTGACTGATAAAAGGACGGAGCAGCTACATTAAAATGCTAGAGCTGCAGGGCCCCAATTCTCCTTTCATTTACATAATATAAATCAGGACTAACTCCATTGAAATCAATTATATTATATGAATGTAAAACTGCTGTAAAGTGAAAGGAGAATCAAGACTACAGTGCACTGTTAATGTTCAAACCTGCAAGTGGTTCAAAACATAAGCTCTGCAATTTCCCCTCCTTAGCTTGCTATTATGTTTAGTAAAACAATTTTATTAGAGGCACTTTAGTAAGGTAGTCTCTGCTATATCCACACAAGTCTTCTCTTCAGGAATACATGGATGCTGGAACTAGGGGTGCTGCCACATCCCGTGGCTTGAAGTGGTTTTCACCATATAGATGGTTCAGTTTGGTTCAATGGCTCTCAGCACCCTCACTATAAAAATCATTGTCATTTAATGGCCAAAATGTCAAGGTTCTTGCTAAAATTCCAGGAATAAATAAATGTAGGTCTTACAGTATACACATAATTATACTATACTAAACAATATACACTGTAATAATCCTTGCTGGTACTGCACATTGAACAAGCAGCTCACTTTAGTGATGTGTACCCACTGCTCTCCTTCTACCTTGCTTACTGGTTATCTTCTTGAAAGGAGCCCCCAATTCACCTACTCAGTAATTTTGGGAAGCCTTCATTCTTGTAACCACTGATGTGACAAACAATTCCTTATTTTAACATGATAGAAAGAAAATGGGTCAAACACTCAGAAAACTAATATAGAATATTTTATTGTACTTAAAAAGAACAGGAGTACTTGTGGCACCTTAGAGACTAACAAATTTATTAGAGCATAAGCTTTCGTGGATGCATC